GTTACTTTAATAAAGCTTTATTATGATGAGATGATCTTCCAAAATTAGCCAATCATGATAAAGCCCGCTATGCTGGTGTAAACATATTGCTGTATTGAATTAAAAGTTACGTTAAACCGGATTTTATTTTAGCCGTAACTATTACGTAGACATGATGCCACCTATAGAACACAAGTGAAGTTTAATATGTAAGACGTAAAAGATTTCACAAGGTGATACGATTAAACCAAGATTAAGATGCGTATATATCTAATATTGTACATGCGTAAACAAGTACGTACTTACGTACGTACTTGGCCAAGAACCTTCGCTCTCCAAAATGTCTTTTCAAAATGAATCACCTAATACTTATGATTATATGCATATTATCGTATTGATATTCCTTTGTTATCTTGTTCGTTTTTACTATAATTATTTCACTCGTCCAAATCCGCTTCCTGGTCCTCTACCTTTACCATTTGGGCTAGAGGTATTATTATTGATTTTTTATACTTTAGCAGCGATTAATTTTTTTAAATACTATATTCACCAAATTATTTATAGAATCTCTTTTATGTCTTTTATTATGGAGACATAAAACGCCTTGCTGCAGCATTATATGAAAAGTATGGAGATATCTGTGAATTCAAACTGGGCGGTTACCGAAGAATAATGCTCTCTAAAACAGATTATTTTGAGAACTTATTAACCCCTTCAAAGAATTTAGCATTATTTACAAAACATGAATATTCATCTGCTATGGATATGTTTGGAAGCTTTGGACGAGGATTGTTTCTGAATAACAATTATGAAACTTGGAAGATTAATAAATACTTTTTTTTGCAATCAGTTTCAACACCTGGCTTTAATGATGATGCTATAAAACGGAATATTGATTTATTTGAAGAATTGGATGGATACTGGAATTCGCTTGCAAAATCTCAATCTTCTAATGATGATTGGCTTGAAATGGACTTTTTACTATGGATAAATAGGTTTATGAGTGATAATATTTCAATCATAGTAATCGGTGAGAAAGGTTGTTCGATGGCATCATATTATAATACATTCAACTCCGATAAATCTAAATTTAAAAGTTCTCTTCTTAATGACCCTAAATCATTTGATTCTGATAAATTCACTCAAGCGATTATGTCATATATGAGAGATGCAATATTCTTTCATGTTGTTCCTCAATTCTTGAGACGCTATGTGCCATTTTTTAAAAAGAAGGCAGATATTCTTCTTGAAAATAGGAATTTTATATTAAAAACAATGGAAAATGTGGTTGAAAAGAGAAAAAATGACCTTGTAAATACTCCTCAGAAATTCAAGTCGATGCATGATTTGTTAACTATTCTTATTACTGCAAATCATGATGCAAAAAATAAGAAGGCAGAGTCTATAACTGATGAAGATATTAGAACGCTTTTACTTGACGTTTTTTTTGCTGGATCCGATACAGTATGTTTAATGGTTTTAATTTAATTCTATTATATTGATCATGTATTGTTGTTAACATTTACATCTATTTACACCTTGTTTTGTTTTCTAGTCTTCAAACACATTGTGTTACATAATTTACTTCATTTGTCATAATCCACACGTAAAACAAAAAATGTTTGATGAAATCGATTCAGTTTTTCCTAATAATTTTTCTGGAAACATATGTATAACCGCCGATCTTCTTGCAAACTTCAAGTATTGCGAAGCAATAATTAAAGAAGCTTCTCGTATGATGCCTGTGTTGCCTGTGTCCAAAAGGATCGCAACTGAAGAATGTGAAGTTGCTGGATATACATGGCCAGCAAAAACTATGTTTCAACTAAATTATGCTAGCATCCATATGAATGAGAAGTATTGGGCCAATCCCACAGTTTTTGATCCAAACAGATTTTATTTAAAAAATGATTCGAATGAATTTGATGATTTAAACAATTTTGATAAAGAAAATAAAAAGCCCACTCATGACGCAAATAAATATTCATTAGTTATTTTTGGTGGTGGTATAAGGATATGCCCTGGAAGAAAATTGGCAATGATTAATATGCTATCCTTTATGGTACTGATGTTCAACAAGTATGATGTAGAATTAGTAGATACGGAAGCCCCATTGAAAACACATACCGGATTCCTTACTAATTGTTTAGAGTTAAAAATCAAAATTAAGCCTAGGAAATTATTATTGTAATTTATTACAATTATTTACTTATTGTTATATAACGCTTTCATTTTTCAATCATTTGTTGCATTATAATTTTTGAACCCACTTTTTTTTATTTACAAAATCTTATATTAATTTATGTATTAACATTTTCGGTGCAACCAAAATGGGGATTACCAATATATTCACGTAAGCAGGCACCTTCAGTTAAAAATAAAATATGGAAGTTTCAACAAGAGTCGTGTAACTAATATATAATTCCTCAATTACTATAGCAAAGGCCATGGGGACTATATTTATAGGCGAAAATTTCATCTTTTCTTATATCCGATGATCCAGAATATTATTATTACAAATAAAATTAAATCATATTATAGCTATTTAACTAGGCAATTTGGAAGCAAGAAAGTATTTAACTAAATAACAGAGATAAAAGAGTCATTAGGTTCTATATAAAATTAGTTGTCAAATACATTTTTTATAGATGCAATATCGTGCCTGAATTGTAAATTCAGTTACACCTGCCTAAATTACCAGCTAATGCGTGCAAAATGATCTAATTTCCGGGCAAATCTAGTCAAGTGCAGCTTTAGGCACTTGTATCTTAAAAATTATTTCAGGTTTACGGAATCGAGACTACAGGCAAGATATATCGCTAAAAATAAGGGTTTTCCTAACAGAGCCATTATGTTAAAATTAAATAAATTATGTCTCTAAGATAGTGTTAGTTAATAATAAAAAAAGTTAATAATTAATTGGGACAAATTTATTTCCCGGCGTGGCATTATCAAAAAAGGTGTGGAAATATCAATTCCCTAAATTTATTTAGCATTAATTAATTGTCATTATATATAATTAAATTTGGTTATATAGTTTTTATTGTCTCTTATAATAAGTGTTTACATTTATTTTTTTTTTTGTGTTTTTTATTATTATTTTTTTAATTTGTGTATTAATACATTTTTAATACAATAATAAGTTCTTGGATTATAGGATTTTGTTTAAATTAGGATAGTAATCTTAGGTTTTGAGTTGTTAGATTTCGTAGAAATGTATTTAATAATGCCAATTTAAATTTATACAGTATTGAATATTTAATTATTAGCTTTGTATAAAAACATTGCAAGATATTTACAAAAATTAGTCAATTACAATAAAAGCCTGCTATGCTGTGTGCGATATACTGAAACTCAGTGAAGATTTTTATGTAACATACATACTGCTAAACATTTATTTTTCGAGTTATGAAAAAAAATCTTCTTATTACATTAAAATACACTATCCACTGAACTCCATGCGAAATTCTAACTAGATTAATATGTAGACGTCGAGGAAATACAATTTGAAATATGGTAATTTTCTGCAAAACAGTTGTCAACTTCAAATTGCATCTCCTCGACATTCTTAATATTAATCTATTTAGAGATTTCGCATGAAAATTCAGTGAAAAGCATCTTTTAATGTAATAGAGAATTTTTTTCATAACCTGAAAAATAATGAATTATTACATTTACGTTAATAATAAAATGCTGCGGCAACAGTCCAATTTAGATAAGTATTTAAGCAGTCTTATTATTTTTCGGGCTATGAAGAAAAGCTCTCCAATACATTAAAATACACTATCTACTGAACTCTCATGCTAAATTTCTAACTAGATTAATATGTAGAATGTTGAGGAGAAACAAGGAAATTTTCGAAAGAAAATTGTCAACTTCAAATGTATCTCCTCAACATTCTACGGGTTTCTATTATTTTCCCGACAACACTTTCCCGACAAACAAAATCCCGACAAAAATTGACTGGAACTAACACTAACTCTAACCTAATGCAGGCTAACTTGTCGGAATTTTGACATTGTCGGGAAAGTGGTTGTCGGGAAAATGATAGGATCCGCCTGATATAGATTTGATCTACCTACATAGTCCCAATGATTAAACCTAGGTGCCGCACAAAAAATGCGCAGTTGATCCTATAAGTCTAGCATCACCACCCTAAAAAATTTCGCTGACTATGTGATCTTATTAAAAAAAAACTGTTTCGCGATTAGTTTAG